ACAGTCGAGGTTAAGCCCCCCGCCCCCCCCCCATTGGACTTTCATAGAGCAAGAGCCACAGTGCATATAATATTATCTTGCCTAGAATTGTGTGTTTGACTAGCAGGGATTAGCTGGCAGAAAGTAAGTTTATACATCACATTAAGCCATAGAATAGAATAGAGCTGGAAGGGACCTTGGAGGTCTTCTAGTCCAGCCCCCTCAAGCAGGAGAACCTATATCATCTCAGACAGGTGAATCTCCAGTCTCTTCTTAAAAATCTCCAGTGATGGAACACCCACGATTTCTGGGGATAAGCTGTTCCACTGATTAATTGTCCTCACTGTCAGGAAGTTTCTCCTTAATTCCAGGTTGCTTCCATGTTATGCTTTGTTTGTTTATTTGGCTTTGGCTTATAATTTGTTGCAGGAACTCAGTCACAACATACTGTGATAAGGAGGGGGACCTTATCAAGTCACCAACTTAAAGCCTACAGGACACCCAAAATTACAATGACTAAATTAAGAAGCAGAATGGATAACTTTGGACAACATACTTTTAAATAAATTTCCTGAAATTTAAAAGTCAACATTGACATAGTATACTTTCACAGGTCTTGAAGCCTGGATTTCAAAGCACTTCTTTCATGTACTAGATGCATATTTCAAATAAAATCTTGTAGCCTTAGTTTAGGGATGTCAAACTGGCGACCTGCGGGCAGATGTGTCACGCACAGGTCACACCCATCCCAGCTCCACAAAGACAAAAAATGTCTTATATGTCATGACATGTCACATGACATGATTGAGTTTGACACCTGTGTCTTAGTTAATACATATCAAGCCACATATTTTTACAGTTTAGAAGTTGAAAATTTAGCAAATTTAATAACTGTAAAAATAATGTTTTGCATTTATTTATATGCTAAATTTTTGAAGTATTTAAGCATCTGTTGGGACAGAAATGTCCCAATAGAGAGAAATCCAATTCAGCCATCAAAAAACACCCATGGCTTAATCATAGCTTAATGCCAGAGATTTCAGAAAACTCCATTTAAATATAGCTGCAATCACATCACTTAAAGTGCATATATATATTATTACAGGGGATTAATTAATTAAATTAATCTAGTGGTAGATTTTAATATTTTTTCCAGTGAGGATATTTACATGACAAGGGAGGTGTCACAGGTGAAGGAAATAATTGTGCTAGGCACATGCAAACCATTTGGGTAGTATCTCAGTTTTCAGTGTCCTGGAAGTGTTCCTCAGTTTTATAGTTTTCTCACTCCTTTCATTCATACCTTCTTAGATTTAATCAATTTTTAATTGAATAGGGCTTTTGCTAATGTGTATATACAAATGTATGAGTTACAGTGTCAAATTCTGGCTGAGAAACCCAATGAAGCAAAACACCGGAGACATTGTAATCTCTAATGTAAACTTTATTAGGCTTTAGCAAACCCATACAATAGAAGGAAAGCTGGGCTCTGAAAATATGGTGGGAAACAGATAATTAAAACAGTAAACCTTTTCCTCCCCTCCCTTATAATTCAGGTTACATTGTCCAATTAAACTCCCAGCAATTGTTATGAGAAGAAACTTCAGTTTGCCAAAACATCTCTTCAGTAACTTCAGCTCTCACACTGATAGGGAGCTTCTGTGGATCCCCTCCCCCCCTAACTGTAGACAAGCTAGAAGCACAACAGCAGTCCTAAATACAGTAAATTTCATAGAGAGCTTGACATACAGCTCTTTTTAGCAAAACAAAGATCATGTTCTCTTCAGCTGCCATATAGCTATGAAAAATGAAAAACTTTATAGAAAGAGAGAGAATGGAACTACAGACATGCCAAATACACAGGGTTTAGAACCCAAACTTTATAGCCAAAACACCTGATGTGAACAGAGACATCTGTCAATGTCACATTTTGCCATCTGGAGATTTTGAAAAGCAAACAAACATGGGGTTACTACCTTTCTGATACAGAATTCTGGTGTTCTTACTGAAAAAGATAAATTGAACTAAATTTCTTATTCAGCTATATCACAATCTAAAAAGTATGGGGGTGGGGGAAGAGTTTTAGCTTACAAAATAACTACTATAGCAGTGGATTTAAGAAAAAAATTTAAAAATGCAATTTTAGAACAATAACTTCCATTCTAGCTGTACGTACAATGTTTGGGCTGCACCTTCAAGCTATATTAGTGGAATAAAAGTCTGAAGTTTCAAAATTATAGAACCCAAATCTTCCTCCTTGTTTGGAATTTACCTAAAGCAATTATTTGGGGCCCAGGCAAACAAACATGCCTTTTGTTAAGGGCCTCCTGAATTCAAAAAGGCATTGGGAATTTCTATTTTCAAAATACTTTAATTTGGAATCCCTGTCCAGCCACAATAATTGATGTGCCTAATTTATAAGCCAATCCTATCCATGCTAATATTAAAATAATAAATCAGAAAAATCTGACACAGGCATGTAGCTCTGGGATCTATTTGTATAGCAATATCAGCAACTATATATTGTTAAATATGTGGTTAGAACAACAGCAAATGAAAAGGATGGAATACTACATCAGTAAAAGTAATAATAATTTAATTTGTTTTGTGGTTTTTTTTTGCAGATTTACCCAGGCAGAATATTAACAGCAACAAAAAGAAGTGCATCAAAATACTCAGAAATTCCTCAAAATAACATTTGAATTGAATCTATAAGTATTCTGATGTTGTATAATTCCAGGAAGCATATATGAACCACATCATAATTCACTAAGAATTATGGGACATAATTGGGACAAAGTTGCCACAACATTGGAAAAGAAGAACTTTGCTGACAATATCAAATTGGCAGACCAGAACTGAAATTTGCAGCAATGGCAAAATTGACAGTTTAAATTTGTAACAGAAGACTGACCAAATTTAAGCAAGAATGGTTCCCATGTATACTACATAGTACAAAGTAGGGCAAATTTAGACATTTGGTATATGTTTTTTGGAAATAAATATAAGACAAATAAAAATAATAAATGAAAGGAAATAAACAGATACTGGCAATAATTTTTAATATTAAATATACATATTAAGATAGTAGCCAGTGGTTTGAGAAATAAACAGAAGAGGAGAACATGTTACTAAAAAAAATCTATATGGTTTTAATCTCTTATCTTGTTTAATAGTTGTTTCCTTTTATGTTATTTAATTGTTACTCTCCAAGATAGCTTTTTTCTTTGTGTTTAATTATTATTATTTAAAAAAAAAATACACTGGCCCTTTGGCAGGTGCAATCATAAGTGAATGCATATACTACAATATGTGTCTTGATGAGCCTATAAGAACTGCAAGAAGGAACAGAAGAAATAGCATAGCCAAAACAACATTGTGGCTTATGCCTTTGTTCTAAGATATTTCTACATATGTAGAAATGATTGATCACATTATGGTTGGTCATATGGTCATCTAGATGTTTAGACTGTATTTATCATTTTTAGTTATCTCCCAAGTCTTTCCCAAGGGCCTGCGGTAAGCAGATGTTGTTAATGATGTTAAAGGTATCATCACGGAATATACCAAGTAAAGCTTCCTTTTCCAATTAACAAATGGTGATTTTATCTATGCTGATGGTATTCAAGTGGTGCTCTAGTTGTTCTGGGACTGCACCCAAGTTACATATTACAATTGCTATTGTCTTTGCTTTCTATTGCCATAGTCATTCTACTTCTATGCACCGGTTTTTGTATCTTGTGATTTTCTCCAGTTCTTTTTCTTCCGTTCTGCTGTCCCTATGTAGTGCAATACTATCCAGACTTCTTTTTATCTTTCTTATTAACAGTTGTTAAGTTTGGGCTGTTATGTAGCAGGTGTTGTTTTTACAATTGACTGATGATGATTTTGTCAATGTCAATGGTATTCAAGTGGTGCCCCAGATGTTTTAGGATTGCACCCAAGACAGATGTAACTATTGCTACTATCTTTGTTTTATTTTGCCACAGGCTACATTTATGCGTAGATCTTTCTATGTTATTATTTTCTCCAGTTCTTTCTATCTCTTTCTATCTTTCTGTCTCCAGGTACTGCCACATCCACTATTCAGAAAATTTTGTCTTCATTGTCAATTGTTAAGTCTGGGTGTTATGTGGAAGGTGCTCATCTGTCTGAATTCCAAATTCCCAGAACACTTAAGTTTCTTCATTTTCTATCACTTTGTCTGTTTTGTGGTCTCACCAATTCTTGCTTGCAGGCAAATGGCATTTCCTGCAGATATTCCAATGCACTGCTGTTGCTATTTTGTCATACTCTTATTTACAGTCAGTCTGTGTGATGTTCTTGCAGCAGCTAACTAGATGGTTCATGTTTCTTCAGCTTCTTTACAGAGATAGCATTTGTTGTCTGTTGCTATTTTCTCAATTCTGAGTTTGTCTATATTTGTTCTTAAAGTTTGGCCTTGTGCAGCCAGAGTTAGCCTATCTGTCTCTTTCTTTAACTTGCCTGCTCTTAGTTTTTCAAAATTTTGTTATTATCTGATTTGTCTGATAGTTTTTTTTAATGTATTGTCCATTAATATGTTGCCTTACCATGTCTCTTTTCCAGTCTTTTTTTTTATCTTTCCTGTAGACCAGTTGCTCTCTCCAGTAGTCAGTAAGCCTTCATAGTATATAGCTCCAGTGCATCTTCTTTATTGTCCTTTGGGCAATGCCCTTTTTTCTTCTTCAGCTGTCTGGTGTATTGCAACTTTCCATGCCCACCTATGTTGCTTGGTAAGTAGAGTCTCTCAACTTCACTGCATGGAAGAATGGCATGATTTATTGTCAATATTTTTCTGGTCTTCCTATTCAGAGCTTTTAGGTCTGCTTGAATCCAGTCCATTATTCCAGCTGTGTATCTGACTGGAATTGCTCATATATTAATTGACTTGATGGTATTTCTTCCACTCAGTTTGGACTTTAAGATCTTTTTCACTCTCACTTGTAACCTTTTCTTTGACTTCTCGTGTGCTTGATATTGTCAACTTGAAGAATGCCCAGCTATTTGTAGTGATCTTTTTCATCCAGACTCTTGATGTTATTTCCGTAGGACATCTTGATTTTTTCAGTTTTCCTTACTTTTCCCTGTTGATGATAAGGGTGGCACATTTGTTCAAACCAAACTCCTTTATGATATCTTGGCTGTATATATGGGTAGTGCTTAAGCTTGAAATAAACCTTTACACTCATTTGAACTGTCTGAATCTCCTGATTTCCACAGCGCTTAACAGCAATTCTGCCATTCAATTCTGTTGGATAGTCTGATCTACAGATTTTTAGAAAGTCAGAGAAATATGCTGCCCCTATTCTGAGTAATCAACAATATGCCCTCTAACATGCATTTATTACCAAGTAATTATCTGTTTGAGAGACTTTCCACATACTGTTGGTAAGATTCACACACTAATTTTGAGGATCTGTGATCTCATCAACTGTAGTTAAACTGAGATCTGGCTTAAAATGAGAGTAGGGAGGAGAACTTTTATAAACTTCTGAATCAAATAATCACAAGAACTCTTTGTTTGCTATATGAAAAGAAAGAAACTCTAGTAGAAGTATGTGATAGTTGCCAAGTAAGATTGTGGTGACAGGATTCATTGGCTGTCTATTCTTTGTGTCTTCATTGTGCCTTCAGGCATTACTGCTTTTATATACAAGAGAATGATCAGCAAGGAACAACTGCAAAATATGCAATGGAAACTTAGTACTACCTTGGCTCACAGCAGTCCTTGGATTACATAGAGGATGAGTTGATATCCTTACCTAGCAGCTACCCCATTGTGCTGGTTTGCAAAAGGAATGGAGGATTACAAAATACTGTAAACAAAAATCAGGAGGTTTCTGATATCAATTGATTCATTGTTCTAAAAATGCGTAACAGCAAACAGGCCCAGGAAGAAATTCTCCTAATTGAGATACATACTAGTAAAAATTTCCTCTGCTCCAGGGGATATTTCATTGTTAGCATTCCACCTGGATTTAGGATTTAGGAGAACACATCTGTTGGAAAGTCCAGTGGTTATTAAAAAATAGCTCATCAAGCCACTCTGTAACTATGGCTGAGAAATTTATCTTGCACCAATTCCAGTATGTGGTTTCAAGGCTTGCAACTTTACTGATCTATCCAAGAGCTTTCAAACTGTGATCTGTGGGATTCTAGAGTTTAGATCTCACATCAATTTAATAAGAGATGTTCTGAAAAAAATCACTGGAATCAATAATTTAATTATTTAATTATTGACAGCTCATTGCCAAGAGAGAGAGGAGAGGAGAGGAGAGGAGAGGAATTATCTTTAGTAACCCTTAGTAGACTTTTGCTGACCAGAACTTAATGAAAAACCTTTAAGCATTTGTTTATAGATAAAAGATACGATATGGGAAGAATGGATCATTTGTTGTATTTTAAATTATTAAAATTGTTTATGTTTGTGATGAAGGGAGAAACTATTTCTTTATACTTTTTTCTTTTCTTTAGTATATTCTTATATTTTTTGTTTTTCTCTCTATTTCTTTCCTTTTCTGCATTTTCTATTTCTTTTCTTTTTTTGTTAGTTTTTATAATTTAATTATAATTTTAATAAAAAATACTATAAATCCTTTCCACACAAGTCACATTTCTTTTATCATAAAACAGTACAACAGTAGGATAAAAAAATTACATATAGAGTACCAATGATATGCCAATTATCAATGTATATAAATAATCTATGAGGCACAATAATTACATGTTTCTTCCAATGTAAATGTCAAGTCTTCACATTATTTACCCAAAAAATAAAATAAAAGGAAAAAAAACAATCATAAAAAGGAATATGCAGCTACCTTCTTTTGATCATCTGCAATTCAAAATGAAAATGAATTCCCAAGCCCTGTGTTTCTCTGCTATTTTGCCCCAAGATTGAGGGTCTATTATAAACTAACATATTTTCTCAGTTTGTAAAAATGAGCTGTTGGGTTTTTTTCTTCATTCAGCTTCTTTCCAAGCTGGAAGATCTGCTCATCAACTATGATAAAGACTGAGCTGCATGACAACAATGTCCCCAAATGCATGACAACATATCCCACAGCTGTCCTTAGCATAATGTGGCTGATTTCATATTGTGTTTTGGTTCATTTGAGCCTGCCAGCCAACTAGAAAACTTGAGCTGCCTTTTCTACTTACATTCAAGCTAAAGAAAGCTATCTGTCATCATAGTATGTCGAAAAGAACTAGTGTTCTGCTCCAAATAAGTGTGATAACATCATCCAAATTCATTATGTTCTGGATAAAACACTTCCCCATTTCCTTTCCTTCCCCATAGACTTGCTTGCTCAATTGTTCTTTATACCTGTTAGGCCCTGCCTCCAAATGAACTGGCAAGCTATTATTATTGGCTTAAATATTTCAAAATATTACCTTGATTTCAAGCAGGATGATAAAAACAATAATAACAGGGTGGGCAAATGGAAGACTAGAGCTAGAGATTTCCTTGTTTCATTGTATGGGCAATTTACTTAAGCAAATTTGAATATCCATACCGATGGAGAATGAATTATAGCTAATACAAAATTGTGGACAAATTGTGAATTTTCTTCTGAGAACAAGTTTCCAAATATTTTTAGTAAATCTAACAGAGCTTTGGCAAACAAAACAGAGCTACTGCTAAAACAACGCATCAATATTATGGTATTTGGGTAGACCGCAAACAAATGACTTTATTATTAATGACAAATGTGTAATCAGATTTAATACTTATTTCCTGTAAATTAGCAAGCTAGACTTAATAATATTGTTAAAGATTGTAATTACTAGGGTTGGCTTCCTTTGTTCAGAACTGCAGGCAATATACTTAACAGTAAGCCAGTTAATTGCTACTGACAGCTTCTAGTGAAAACCACTTACTTACTACTTCTAGCAGTAGCTAGCATCACTGAAGATCAGCTTCAGAGCTGGATTTAAGGTAGTGCATCTATTCCTGTGCTCCTTGATTTCTTAGTAGCTTTCAGAACTGTTGACTGTGACATTCTTCTTTTTGTGGGGCTTGGGAATGGGGGTCACTATGTCACAGTAGTTCACCTTCTTCAGTGGTTAATTCCAGGTGTTTCCACTGTTGGTCTTGGATGAGGTTGTGCTTTCCCATTTGGGACTTGTGAACAACTTGGGAGTCCTTCTGGATGATTTGGTTGCCTCATGACTGGACTATTGAAATGGAGCTATTTGGAGCTATCCTTGCAGATCAACTGGAAGTTACAGCTGGTTCAAAATGTAGCAGTGCAAACAGTAATGGGCACTCCTTGCTGTGCTCATGTGTTACCATTACTTTACTGGCTGCATTGGTTGCCAGTTGGTTTCTGAGTGCAATTCAAGGTGCTTGTTGTTATCTTTAAAACCATTCAGGGCCTTGGAACTGGTTCCTGACAGATTACCTTTCTTTCATTGATTCTGCCCACCCGTTATGTTTGGGCAGAATGGGTTTGTTCTGTGTCCCTTATAGTCACTTTTGGGGACCTAAAAAACATGTTTTCTCTATCATTGCCCCCACTCTCAGCAGAGTATCCCTCCAGAGATATGAATGACATCTTCTTTCCTGGGGTTCCAAAAAGACTTAAAGACTTTGCTTTGGTTCCAAGCAATGGCTTAATATGGTTTTGTTTTGTTTGTTTTGTGAAGTGGGGGGAATGCTGTGCTGTTTTATTGGCTATTTTAATCCAGGCTGCTTTGAGCTGTTCTTATTTAATGTTTTGAATGGTTTTATCTAGTATTGGATTCTTGTAAGCTGTTGAACTGGGCAGCTATACTAAATTCAATTAAATAAATAAATGTCATACTTACATGTTAGCAATTACATTTTATACCTTTTTAATCCAAAATACTCTAGCCACTACTCACTAGTAATAGTTAGTCACCATGATATAGGCACAGACAAACAAACCAGATGTTAGGTCCTCAGAGGTATGTCCACAACTGTCCCCACAGGAGATGGAGGAAAGTGATAAAACATATGTCAACAGAATATTAAATCCATTCCTTCTGCACTTGTGTCAGTAAGTAAGGAGAAGTTTATGTCATGACATCAGCACATATGTGTCATCATCCTTAAGCCATCTCAGGTAGTTGTGGATACCTATGGGTAGAATTAATGGAAAAATATGAAAAGTATTTCAAAAGAACTCAGAAGGAGGTTTGAGCCTTGACTTGGTATGCTAAGGATACTAATGATCACAACTGATTCAAAAGAGATCAAATAAGATGCAAGTGGAAAATTAAAATGCTATATAGTAGAGCTGTCAACATCCAAGATACCTTAGAAGATATTCCCTACTTCAAGAGCCTCTAATATTAAAAGATGTTTAGATTAACACTCCATTTATTATCAAATCAGAAAGTTACAGGAACTGAAGAAATATCCATTGAAATAAGCTTAGCAATAGAAGAATATTAAATCAGGATTCTAACCAAGCTATCACAGCAAAGCTGAAGAATGACAAAATGCTCAATTGATTGGAAGAGGTCAAAATCTATATTCCAATACTCAAGAAAGGAGACTTGCTAGAATGTGGAAACTATAGTACAATTTCCTTAATTCATATGCTAGTCAAATAACGGTTAGGACCATCCAACGCAAATACACAGAGAAATATATGCCAGATATTCAAGCTGGCTTTAGCAAAGGCTGGAAACATGAGATATTACTGCTGATGCCCTCTGGATAATTGAGAAAGCCAAATAATCCCAAAAAGAAATTATTACATAGACTACAGAAAAGCATTTGATTGTACAGATCCTATCTTGCTGCAGAATGTGCGCAAAAAATTGGGAATCAAGTTAAGGATGTCAGAATACTGCATAGACAAGACAAAATAATACAAAATTAACATTTGATCAGCAATAGGACAATAAGTACTTTTACAAAATATTGGAAACCAGGTCTCACCAATAGGTTTTTCTTGAAAATGAATAAAATTGAGTTAAAGACTTGTGGATTTGCCCATTAAAAAGGGTTGGAATAGAATAGAGCTGGAAGGGACCTTCGATGTCTTCTAGTCAAGCCCCCTGCTCAAGCAGGAGAACCTATACCATCTCAGACAGGTGATTGTCTAGTCTCTTCTTAAAAATCTCCAGTAATGGAGCACCCATGATTTCTGGGGGTAAGCTGTTCCACTGGTTGATTGTCCTCACTGTCAGGAAGTTTCTCTTTAATTCCAGGTTGCTTTTCTCTTTGATCAGTTTCCAACCATTGTTTCTCATCCTTCCCTCTGGTGAACAACCTAACCCTTCTGCCTTGTGGCAGCCCCTCAGATACTAGAACACTGCTATCATGTCTCCCCTATTTCTTCTTTTCTTTAGACTAGCCAAACCCAAGTCCTGCAGCTGTTCGTTGTGTTTTTTAGTCTCCAGGTCTCTGATCATCTTAGTTGCTCTTCTCTGAATTTTTTCTAAACTCTCAACATCTTTTTTGTGATATGGTGACCAAAACTGGCTGCAGTATACCAGGTGTGGTCTTACTAGGGCTTTGTAAAGTGGTACTAGTACTTCATGTGATCTTGATTCTATGCCTCTGTTTATACAACCAAGGGTTGTATTAGCCTTTTTTGGTTGCTGCTGCAAACTGCTGGCTCATAGTCAAGTCATCATCCACTAGGACTCCAAGGTCCCTCTCACAATTATTGTTTTTAAGCCATTTCTCACCCAATCTATATTTGTGCCTTTGGTTTTTCCTGCCTAAGTGTAAAACTGCTTTTCTCTACATTGAAACTCATTTTGTTGGATCGGGCCCATTGTTCAAGTTTGTCTTCTGGGGTGTTGGCTACTCCTGCCAGTTTGGTGTCATCTGCAAATTTGATGAGTTCCCTTTCAATTCCCTCATCTATGTCATTGGTGAAGATATTGAAGAGTACTGGGTCTAAGACGGAACCTTGTGGTACCCCATTGCTAACTTCTCTCCATGTGGATGTAATGCCATTGAGGACTACTCGTTGAGTACTGTTTGTCAGCCAGCTACAGATCCTTCTGGTGTGATGTTGTCTATTCCACCTTTTTCTAGCTTACCAATTAGTAGGTTGTGGTCTACTTTGTCAAATGCTTACTGAAATCTAAGTATACTATGTCCACAGCATTTCGGTGGTCTACTAGTTTAGTCACTTTATCTAAGAATGAGATAAGATTGGTTTGGCATGATCTGTTTTTAATAAACCCATGCTGGCTACTAATTATGACTTTGTTTGCTTCTAGTTGTTCACAGATCTGTTTTTTGATTATCTTTTCTAGGATCTTCCCAGGTATTGATGTTAAACTGATTGGTCTGTAGTTTCCTTTCTTAGTACTAAAAGCCAAAGAGCACCATGAAAAAAAAATGGAAACAAAATTAAATATAAAGAAATCCAATCTAATCACAACAGGTAGAACAACCAGCTTTAGATATGACATTTTGAATTCTTTCTTTCTTTCTTTCTTTCTTTCTTTCTTTCTTTCTTTCTTTCTTTCTTTCTTTCTTTCTTTCTTTCTTTCTTTCTTTAACAGCCATCAATAGTAAAGGAACAAGCACACTTAAATTTGGTGTAGGGATGTGTTCTTTCTTTCAACTATCCATACATTCCCTCCCTCCCTCCCTTCCCCTGGGTAATGAACAATCATGTCCAGTTATGTATCATAGTCCTCCTACTAATTCATAACAATCATGTCCAGTTATGTATCATAGTCCTCCTACTAATTCTTCTACAAATAGAGAGAAACTATTCTAAAAAGAATTGTACTTGAAGTTCCATGCATTTAGAGCTTTATCTCTTCTTTTTAAGGAGCAAAGGGATATTAACACCTTCCTAAACACATTCTTCCTGAAATAAAACACAAATCCTGTGGGTGCCAGGTTTCAAATGTATGCTCAGATTTTAAAATCTATTGTTACAAAATGAATATTCAAATGATTCAGAAATCTTTAGTTCATGAATGTATTGTACACTAGTATTTTAAAAACCTAAAAATGTAAACATTGGTTCTACAAAGATGAACACAGAAATTAAACTCTTTCTAACAATTCTTTTATCTTCTGTACAGAATTGGAAAAAGAGAATACATCTGTGCACCATTAACTCATCCCAAAAACATTATAGGAAGATGACTTCCATTCTCCTGTCATAATGCATCAGTGGTCTAATATATAATATACTGAATATATTACAAGAGTAGTATATGATATATTTTAGGACAGTTAACCTCATGTCCTTCAAATATTTTGAATTATAATTTTCAGAGCCTTATAGTATTACTTCGGCTTTCTAAGTTTATGGCAGCTGAAATCCAAAATATTTGGAGGGAACCTGTTTCATCATACCTGGTATTTAATCCCTAGTGGAGCCTGAAACAATGTTGAGAACAATATTGAGAATGAACTCATGCACTTATACAAATGTTTAAACAAGCAACAGATCCATTTTCTCACACAGTGCTCAAGTGAAAAGACAATTTTAACAATAATGTACGATACACAGAAAAAGTTTTTGCAATGCTTTGTTCTCAATATATCAAACAAGGGGTGGCTTATTATATCTGTATTATTTACAAACATCATTGATTTTTCTCTGCTGTTGGATGAACTCTGCTTTCACAAATACACAATTTACTTCTGTAATATATCCATGTCTTGCTACAAATCTAACTTTGTGACACACCATGGGCTATCTTTTAAAGAACCTTTTCACAAAAGTGTGTCCCCTGGTGAATTTCTATTCAACTCTTCTAGATAAACTACCAAATACAACCACAAAGAAAATTAGTCTGAATTAAGGAACAATAAACAGAAAAAAGACTTGTATCTTCAGACTTGGCTGGTCAAATCCACTGCAGATAATAGAAGTTATTTGGGCTGAGTTTGAATCTTTTAGTTCTAAGAAAGTGAACAGGTAATATCATCTCTGCCTCATGCAGTTTAGATGGTTACCCTTCCTCACTGTTGAAAGTCTGCAGGAAGAGTCAGCAGGAAAACTTTATGATTTTTGCAAGGATCAATAATCAACACCTGGCATATTTGCAGAAACGAGGAAAGTTATTTTATGAGAAAAGAAAGTGGAGAAGCTGATAGAGAAGCTGCTTCAATGGCTTCTGTTGGAATCAAGAAGAGCAATAATAGATTGGTAGGAAAGGATTGGCAATTAAAATCTTTAGTTGAGTTAAAGGAAGAAAATATTGTATAGTCTTGGTTTCAGTATAACCAATTGTTGGTTAGGTGGAGCTTAGATCAAAAGGTTGGCATTATTTTAGGGGATAAGAATTTGGTAAAACAGATTAAAGATTCAAATCGAGCCCACATAAAGAGAATTTATAATGTTTTAATAGAATTGGATTCTGAAATGGATTTAGTTAAAGATTGTATGATAAAATGGGCTCAAAATATTCAAGAAACAATCTCATTGGATACATGGGAGGTAATTTGGATTAGAAATGTAAAATTTACCCAGGCTCAAAATTTAAGAGAAAAATTGTATAAAATGTTTTATAGGTAGCATTTGGATCCCCAAAAGCTGTCTTATATGTATCCCAATGTATAGCCCAAATGCTGGAGATGTGGTAGCTTGGATGCAACCTATTTTCATATTTGGTGGACTTGTAGAAATATAAAAGCTTTTTGGATTAAGATTTGGTGGAACATTCAAAAGATTTTTAAAAGAAAGATAAAGTTCACGCCACAACTATTTTTGTTGGGTGTTATTGTAGATTGTGATGCTAAAGAAACTAATTTGATGTTGAATTTTATAACAGCTGCAAGGTTATTAGTAGAGCAATATTGGAAGAAAGATTCTTTGCCTACTATAGAAGATTGGATACTTAAGATGTCAAATTTAGCAGAAATGGCAAAAAATTCTGCTTACTTGAAGGATCACTCACAAGAAAGATATATTTCGGTTTGGAGAAGATGGATAGATTATATTCAGAATAAATATGGGATTAAAAAGTTTCATTTAGCCTATGAGTAAACTTTAGAGTATTATTAATAGTTTCTTTTTTAATTTTTATTAGTTTTAGTATGGTTTAACAATATTGATTTGTTTATATTATTATGTTTATTTTTAATTTGTTTATATTTATGTTATAAGGGAGTTAAAGTGTGTTATGGTCTTGGTTACTTGTATAGTTGGGTAATGATTTTTTTAGAGTTTGATTGTTTATTTGTAACCCTGTACTCAGCTCTGGGAAGTGGGGTAGGGGGGGTAGGGGTGGGTGAGTCTTGGGATGTATATTGTATAAAACTTTTCAATAAAAAAAAGAAGAGCAATAATAGGAAAGTAGTTTGATTGAGTAAAGTTTAGGTCCAGTTTAGCTCATCAATTGAGCTCTGTGCATTTGATTACATCTTCAGCAGGTCTGCTTTCCCAGGTGAAATATAATCAATAACAATAAAAAAATCAAAGATCTTAGATAATGTACATTTCCCTGTTTGAGGTACAAAAAATTGGCATAATTTAAACTAACAAAGGTAGCATTGTTTTATTGGAGCATCAGATTGAAATGAACTGGGAATACATGCTGAATAGGTTCTTGTTCTTTTTCCACTGTTCAGAAGCATGAAAGGCTTTTAATAATGCTATTGAATCTATACTGAAAACTGCAATTATATATACTTTTCAGATTGTCTTTGGTACTCCAGTGAGACCTTTGGCAAATCACTGTTTATTTTTTCACAGATCATTTGTTAAAATTGTACCAGGTCAGCCTGCATTTGTTCCAGTGTCTGTATGAAATTCATCCTTTTATAGATATGAGAATCTGGAGAATTTTTTATTGCCTACCAAAGACAATCTAACCAATTCATAAAACAGATGCAGTGGGGAAATGAAGGTTAGAAGCAATTCACTGTAGCACAAAAGCACACTGAAACACACTTGAATGATGAGCTATGAAACTGATCTCCAAAGACAGATGCAGTTCATTCAAAACAAAGTCAGTTTTTTTTAAAATAAAAAAAGTTTAGATTGAAAAATGGGATATACAGAGATGGAAACAGAATGCACCTGGAAATAAACAGTTAAGCCTGTCAGAGATTAATAAATTTATCATCTAATGTGAAGACAGTGACTGCATCTTGCACCTTTTCCCTTCACTATTCCCTTTCAATGAACTTCTCCTATCTCTATTTGCTTCTAACCATGATTAATTTTATAAAGCTGTCAAACCCTCAGTGAGACAGGCTTATGTTTTTCTTAGCTGTTATTGTTTTTCTTGGCATTCTACTTGTTTCTCAAAAGTTAAAAATATAAACACATGATGACATTTCACAGAGCCTGGCATGGGTTAGGGTTGAGAGGGACTGAGTGGCCCAAGGTCACCCAGCTGGCTTTTCTGCCTAAGAAGCGACTAGAACTTGGGTCCCTCTCCTGGTCCTTGAACACTTCAATATGCTGTCTCTCATGTTCTTAGATTTGACAGTCTTGAATGAATGTTTTCCTCCTTATTCAATCCCATCCAAAGGGAGCTTTGGAGTGGATACATTTGGGCTTTGGCACCCATTGCTTTGTGGGATAGTCAAATAACTGGTAGTATCAGGGAAGCTGGACAGCTATCCTCACAATGCTATGCCTGTAGGCCTCACTCTGAATTAGTATGAAAGAGAAGGAAAGGAATAATATTAAATTATGAAAGAAAGAAAGAAAGAAAGAAAGAAAAAGGAAGGAAGGAAGGAAGGAAGGAAGGAAGGAAGGAAGGAAGGAAGGAAGGAAGGAAGGAAAGAAAGAAATGGTACCTTCTCTAGATAAGACTTGCATCCTTCCATATCAACCCAACAAATCATTATATACTTTCACAAAGTCTTACATTTAAGACAACAGTCTCATTTTTCCAGAAAAAAATGACTCACTGAGGATCAGGAAGTACATCCAATTTACTTGTTATTTTTTTCCAGTTATTTCGACTCATAAAAGCATACCCAGTTTGCAACTTTTATTATTTACTTCTTAAATGAAACATTTGGTATAAACTACTCAGCTCATAGTTTAACTTGCCAGGCTAGGCTTAAGTTTCAAAAAAAAAATCAAGATGCACCCCACTGCACATAGCACCTTGTAGTATGTGATGGTTCCAAAGAACTACAAATCTCATACAATTTTTTTATATTTTCCAACAAGCTTTAACCATCAGCATCTCACTGCTCCCTGTGTTATTGCTTCATTCAGTTCACACTGGAACTATTTGTCCTTGTTATGGGAAGCATCTCTCATATTTTGTGCCTTTTTCAAAGTCTCCATTCTTCTTCGCTGAACTAAACTGTTCTGAACAAACCTTACTGTCCTTTTGGCTGCTTTGAATGAGTTTCATCCAGTGGTGGGATTCAAATACAGTATGTGAACAACTGGTTCTCTGTGTGGATGCTGCTTCCTGAAGTCCATTCTGGGCCTGAGCAACAAAAAATTAGCTACCAGTTCTGCTGAATGGTGCAAACTGGCTGAATCCCACCACTGGTTTCATCTTATACTCCATTGTTCATATAAATTGGTAGGAAATATGGTATTTAAAATGCAATGGGATAAATTCTACCCATCCTGACTATACCATAATATTTGATACTATATGATGGCAACATTAATATATAGATGCATAGTTCACCAATTTCTTTGATTGTACATTGTTAATGCAGTCTAATGAAGCATGATTTGACTTACATTAAGTAAAATAGTAACAGTTTATTTAAGAGCCCTTCATTTCCACAATTTTGAGGCAGATTTAAAATATAAATTTTCTAAATAGAAAATAATTTTCTAAATAGAAATTACTAAATATATATTTACATGAATATTGGTTGTGTACTTCCCAATATTCTGACAAATTATAAAATGCTAATAACTAGTACACACAGTAATTTAGATTTGAATCTTAAAAGACAATAGTAAATTTTATAATTCTATATTTATCCATGAATACAAACTATATTTCACTACTATAGATCAGATTATATAAATTACTATATTTCAACATTAGTGCCTTCTTAATGCTGCAACTTCCCAATAAATATTATTAATAATGGTATATATAAAATTTGCCCAGCTCTTACAAATAACAGTTTTAATAACATGGGTTTCTGTATGTTACTCAGTGAAGTTATTTTTCTACATTCAAGGAAGTATGACTAATGATTGTAATTATGATTTGTGATCTACGGCCTATTACTTGCTGTTTATATGTATACTGGGAGCTTATGCACAGCAGTCAAATTCCTTGTGACTCCAATCACACTTGGCTAATAAAGAATTCTATTCTATTCTATTCTATTCTATTCTATTCTATTCTATTCTATTCTATTCTATTCTATTCTATTCTATTCTATTCTATTCTATTCTTATTCCTCAAGGAAGAACTTTTACCTAACATATGGTACAAATAATATTTTGGTTCCTTCCCATTAGTCACCGCCTTGTATTTTTAAATTATCATAGGGGATTGCTATCATGTTAAAATCTTACCTGTACATGAAAAATCATCAATCCGGATATATCCTGGGACACAGTTGCAACGATATGATCCAGGCAAATTAACACACACTGTATTGGCATGACAATAATGCATCTTAGCAGCACACTCATCAACATCTGCAGGGAGGAGAAAAAAAAGTCTCATGACACTGCAATCAAATGCACAACTCCTACTTTCAGAGATGCACAATTTTAATAGGAAACATGCTAAATACAAGCATCCAAAATATATTCCCAAAAGCAGAATATTTGAAAATTTAATTGTGCTATCAAACTTGGGTGTATTTCTGCTTGTTGCCATCTTTAAATATAGAGATATGCTTTAAGTGCTTTTTTAAAAATATTTCTCTTATCACTTTACCACTAGTCAAAAGTAGACAAAATGTAGCAATTAAAATAAGAAAAGGAAAGTTAACTATTAATGTTTAATTAAGTCAATCACAACTCAAGTGCCTGTCGTACAAGCTTCCTCAATTTTTTAGCCCAAAGTTCCAGACAAAATGGGTTGTGCCAAAGATGATTGCCACATACTGAGAGCTAGAAAAAGCTGATAATAAAACCTGCTTGGGACAATATAAGGTATAATGGAGATATTCAAATTATTTGCCTAGAAAAAAAATATTAATCCTGAAACCAGCTATGCTCCAAAAACCTAAACCAATATTAGATTCAGATGAAACTATCAAGTAGCATCTTCAATGTCAACTGAAAATATTATGGATTAAGATCTGAAAATTAATATCCCATATACCCATCTATTCTTCTGAAGCAAACACCCACTGTTCAAATGAATTATGTTCACTCTGATTCAACAAAGCAGCAGGCCCTATAAGAATATCATTTTGAATTCTGTAAAAGGAAACTATAGTGATTCTTGGTTATTTACAGCATCAGAATGCTCTAACAGCCAGAATGGTTTAATAAAATGCCTGAAATTCCATTATCTTCTTATTTTTAATGTAGTATGATATGATCATGGTAAAATATGCTGACAACCAGGGAATTCTCAACAGTCTTTTAAAATTATCCTTTTAAAAGGATAAAAAGTTCTGGAAGAAAAGGCTTGCCATTTATCTCTGAAATTAACATTTTAAAAATACAAATTTCACTAAATTTCTGTCACATTTGTGATTCAATAGACACCTCAGGGACAAATTGTTTACTGACTTAAAAAGGACATTAACATTTTTCCAGGTATACACATTCAATACCATCCTAACAGTTTGGTAGATGTGTTCATGTACATGTAGTATGTATGCATGTATGTATGTATGTACCTATATCTGTCTGTTGTCTGCTATCATAATTTATGATAATTTACTATTAGAGTACAGACTCCCCCCCTCTCCCTCCCTCCCTCCCTCCCTCCCTCCCTCCCTTCCCTTTCCTTTCCTTTCCTTTCCTTTCTGTTTGTTATTGCTCTGGTTGAAAAAAAATGAGATAAATAATAAGAAATGGTGCTCCTAAAAATATTATCTGAGATAAGGATTGACCTTTTGACAAACGAAACTAAGGAGAAATTTCCTGACAGAACAATTAACCAGTGGAACAACCTGCCTCCAGAAGCTGTGAATGCTCCAACACCGGAAGTTTTTAAGAAGAGACTGGACAGCCATTTGTCTGAAATGGTATAGGGCAGGCATTACGACGTATCGTGACTTTTTCCCCATTACCGGCAATCGGGTGGGCGTGGTTTCAGTATGATGCAGCCAGCCTGCAGGCCAGCAGTTTGACATACCTGGTGTAGGGTTTCCTGCCCGAGCAGGGGGTTGGAGTAGAAGACTTTCAAGGTCACTTCCAACTTTATTATTATTATTATTAATAATAATATTTTAATTCACATATATATTAACCTGATATCATCAGCTAATGCATTAACAACTTCAAATGTCTGAAGTGAAAGTCTCAGAAGGATCTGGTTAGGTGATGCAAAAGTTATGATACTTTCTCAGTGATAGTTGTTTAACAAATGACTGCCATTATTTGATTCAGTTACTGATAATAGAGGAAAATGTACTTATGCACTTTTCCAGAATGTAATGCTCTTCTACTTCTGCCAAAATTAATATATTTATAGGAAAGTATGCATGAAGCTGTATTACAAATGAGGAAGTGGCTTTTATTAAAATACAGGTTTGCAAAAGAAAACAAGTAATGTAATCTTTGAATATATATATTTTAAAGGCTTAGGTAATAAGGATTAACACATCTAAAATGGGTAAAGTAGATGCTGTCAAACTTGACCAATTCCTTCATTTCTAGTTGTGGTGGCAGATAAGAAAATATTATGGATTAAGATTTAAAAATTAATATCCCATACATAATTTCCTTATAAGTAGAAATGAAATAAGCTTCAAAGCTTGAAATAGGTTGGGTTATTATAATATAATTTTACTTTTGTGAACTCTGCAAAGGGCAAGCTTCTACAAAACTGATTAGCAAGTTTGTATTCTTCTCAAGTTTTTCCATCTCTAGAGTTTCTTTCCCACAGGAACTTTAAAGCATGTTTGGAGATAGGTTAGCTCCTTCAATTTTCTCTTCATCTGCTCACCTTTTCCAGGTCAGGGACAAAAGTAATCTTCATTAGGTGCACCATCTGTCTCTGTTTTATTTTAGCTACATTTGGGGCAGAGTTGGACAGGTGGCAATGATGTTTAAGAACCTCTGCTTTAAAATATACCTAAGGCAATCTTCCCTACTACAGATGGCTTCTGCTTCAAAAATGAGTTTATTGTCCAGCTGCGCTAAATTTTCCTTGTACATAAATTGTAAAAAAAGAACATATATTAGGAGAAAAATATGCACAAGCCACACTAAAATAAGGGATGCCATTAACAAGGTTCTTAGCTAAATCCAATGTATACAACAAAGTATATGTGTAGAATAGAATTTTCACATATGTACATATTATCCTAATTATTACAGTGTGAGTATTAAACATATAAATTAATTTGAACTCAATATGATGGTCTGAGAAAATTTGATAGGCAATTGTAGAGAACATTTAAAAGAACAGCAGTGCTGAAAGTAGGTTTTATACTTTTACCACAGTTTAGTGGGAATGAAAGCAAGTTTTACTAAAACAATCCTTAATAATACAATCTTAGGCTGTTATGGATGAACATTCTTATTCTATTGACATCACTAACAAAATCACTTTGCATTGAGCACCAAGCAGCTATCAGCTGAGATTCTTCCTTTCTTTCCGTTCCTTTCCTTTCCCCCTCCCCCCCCCCTCTCTCTCTCTCTCTCTCTCTCTCTCCCTCCCTCCCTCCTTCTTTCCTTCCTTCCTTCCTTCCTTCCTTCCTTCCTTCCTTCCTTCCTTCCTTCCTATTTCTTTCTGACAGGTAATAATGTTTTCCACTCACAGAAGGAAATTTTTCATTGCCCCCACAGATTCCTTAAAAATATTGAGCAATTAAAAACACACACACACATACCAAAATAATAATAATCTTACATTCTATCTTGGTTACAAAAGCCTAAATGCACCTAAAATGAAATAAAACCCAATGAATTGAAACAGAATTTACTTTTGACCAAATTATTTTGACATGCATCAAAATGGCTTTATTTTTATTTGCCCAGTTTTGGAAAAATGAGAATTTACCAACTGACCAGACTATAATTACCAAAATTGTAGAATGTGCAGAAATGGATAGGCTAAATTAGAAATGAAAGAAAAAGATGATTCAATTTATTTTAGAACTTGGGAAAAATTTTATCAATGGTTAGAGACACGTTAGAACTTGAAGGATTCAATATTTAGAATAGATGACTGATTTTTAATTGAGCTCTAACTAACATTTTGACGATATGATTATTTTTCCTGATTTACTGATTTTCATGTTACTTTTGATTGTTAGGATTTTTTTGAGATTTTATTAGTAGTGTTTACTTAATAGATCAACGTATTTGTTTACTAATTGTTTTTAATATGTTACAGTTTAACCTTGGCTAGAAATGGTTGAATATGATATTTACTCATTATTATGATCCGGACGGTAGCTTGTTTGTTGAAATATGTGATTGTACTATCCTTATTTTACCCTAATTCCTTATTTCCTTCCCCTCCCCCTTTCCTTCCACCCCTCCCTTTATCATACCTGTATTGTTCCTATTTTTCCTCATCTATATAAACTTAATAAAATCTTGTTTAAAAAATGGTTTTATTTTGAATCTGGGCAGGTTTTTTTTGTAAATTCTTCACATCTGTCCTTCAGCATTCCTCAGTAGCAAAATAATTTCATCAAGTTATGTTCAGCTACAAAGTTGTAAATGACTGGCTGCCTCCATTTCTCAGGAAAAAAATGTGTAGGATTAGATACTCCCAAGATCAAACATTATTATTAATTTTAGAACTGTACTAGGCATAAACTATTGAGTGTTATCCATGAGGTTGGTTATAATGGAACCCAAATTATGATTCATATAGATTGCTTGTCCCATCTGAAATATTAAAACTTGTCTTCTGATGGTTCATAGAGGACATAAAACATGATTTATGTCCTTCCATAGGACTGTGAAGTAGTTTGCTTTTCTCATAAAAAGATTTACTTATGGTCTTTAAAATGAAACTTGACATAGCATAATGACTGTTCACATATCACTAACTTCCCTCTGCATAAGCCAGTTTGCTATAATGACAAGGAGTCACTCCTGCTAAAGCTTTTCCATGAAAATCATTTCATTGTAATGTATAGATTAATCTGGCATAGTACAAGAAATACTCACCTCATTTATATGCATTTAGGAACTTTTGCTCTTTAGATATTTGGGGGGTTTAGTACAATATAAGTGCTGGGAACCAGCAGTCCTAAAGATGGTTAATTTTTAATGTTTTTAAGATTTAACAGGGTCTATTTTGGAAAAAACAAAAACAAAGCATGCTTACCATTGGAAAATGACTGAATGGAGTGACTATCAGGTCTTTCCTGTCACAGACAGCTTTATCAATGCATCAGTGAAAATGTGTTTACCAAATGATAAGCTTATCACTTGGTACCAATTACTCAGGCAAACTTTGATTTTCCTTTAAGAAAAAAAACAGAAAAGCTTATGTGAGTGTGTACACATGTTTGAGTGCCAGTGTCTCTGTGTATGGGTGCATATGTATA